CACTGCATGATGGAGGTACTGACTGATGGAGTCACTGCTTGATGGAGGTACTGACTGATAGAGTCACTGCTTGATGGAGGTACTGACTGAGAGAGTCACTGACTGATGGAGGTACTGACTGATGGAGGTACTGACTGATGGAGGTACTGACTGATGAAGGTACTGACTGATAGAGTCACTGACTGATGGAGGTACTGACTGGTGCAGGTACTGACTGATGGAGGTACTGACTGATGGAGGTACTGATTGATGGAGGTACTGACTGATAGAGGTACTGACTGATGGAGGTACTGACCAATAGAGTCACTGACTGATGGAGGTACTGACTGATAGAGTTACTGCTTGATGGAGGTACTGACTGATGGAGGTACTGACTGATGGAGGTACTGACTGATGAAGGTACTGACTGATAGAGTCACTGACTGATGGAGGTACTGACTGGTGCAGGTATTGACTGATGGAGTTACTGACTGATGGAGGTACTGACTGATGGAGGTACTGACTGATGGAGGTACTGATTGATGGAGGTACTGACTGATAGAGTCACTGACTGATGGAGGTACTGGCCGATAGAGTCACTGACTGATGGAGGTACTGACTGATAGAGTCACTGACTGATGGAGGTACTGACTGATAGAGTCACTGACTGATGGAGGTACTGACTGATAGAGTCACGGCTTGATGGAGGTACTGACTGATGGAGGTACTGACTGATGTGGGGCATGGATTGATTGTGGCACTGACTGATAGAGTCACTGACTGATGGGGAGGGAGGGGGCACTGACTGATTGTTACAGAGTTCGAAGTTTATTCTTCCACTTCCTTCTGTCCTTCACAATTATTTACATGTCATGGATAGAACCCAGTCCAGCTTCTGGGAGAACCAGGGAAGACATCACATGTGTGGGTGACTGGAACCCTGACCCCTTGAAAACTACAAGATGAGTCAGTGGAACAACCCACAACCACAAGATAGATATGTATAAAAAGCCCCTTTTTAAGCATGCATTTGTATTTTTTAGATTATATCAAATATATTATGTATATTTGCCAAGGCGTAATAATTATTTTATTAATATTATTATTGCACGCTTAAACAAAGCTCATACCCCTTGACCCCCGCAAACAATAGAAATGAGATGGCCGAGCCCCATGCCCCTCCCCCATGCTTTTTAAGTCGCCGTCTATGGTACCCAGTCTCCAATCTTCTTATTTGCCTCTTACGACATGTATAAGACAGTTAGTTACGAATGCAGAGTTTCTTTACCAATAAACACTCAAGGCAAACTCTGACCTAGGAAATGTGGCAGGTATTGTGCATGTTTATTTCTTCAAGAATTCGTAAGACAAAAGAAAAACACATTTATGTTTACAAATACATGCACTGTGATAAAAATATTCTTTCTTATGTATTTCATCACCTAGACGTTATGCAATATGTCACACATACATTATACACTATACGACAGAGACACAGTGCAATATATCACACAGATACTCTGCAATGTATCACATACACTTGGTGTAATATATCACACATACACGCTGCAATGTATCACATACACTTGGTGCAATGTATCACACATACATGCTGCAATGTATCACACACACTTGGTGTAATGTATCACACATACACGCTGCAATGTATCACACACACGTGGTGTAATATATCACACAGACACGCTGCAATATATCACACACACATATTGCAATTTATCACACAGACACTCTGCAATGTATCACATACACTTGGTATAATATATCACACATACACGCTGCAATGTATCACACACACTTGGTGTAATATATCACATATACACGCTGCAATGTATCACATACACTTGGTGTAATGTATCACACATACATGCTGCAATGTATCACACACACTTGGTGTAATGTATCACACATACACGCTGCAATGTATCACACACACGTGGTGTAATATATCACACAGACACGCTGCAATATATCACACACACATATTGCAATTTATCACACAGACATTGTGCAATACGCTCCCGTGACACTATACACTATGCGACACAGACGCTGTGCAATATATCACACAGAAATTATGCTATATATCACAGAGACATTACATAATATATCCCAAGAAATCACACATAAAAACGACCAAAGCTCACAAACACACCATACAAATAACACCATACATCAACCCCCCCCCCCCCCCACACACACACACACACACACACAGAACACAACATTTATCACAGAAATCAGACACAGCAAGCGCAACACTTGATGCCAGTGTCAAACCCTGCTTATTACCTGGCCACCGCATACCGCATCATCATCATCGGGTGCCTTGCCGACTGGCGTGGGCGATCATGCCTCTCCACAATCTGCGATCTCCTGCTGCATGTATCAGTCCGTGTGCTCACATACCTCCATGTCACACAGTAAGACTGTCAAGAATCTTCTCTTGTTGTCTTCCTCTATCCCTCCTTGCAAGCCCGGCTCACTAGCGTAGTTGGCTTAAAACAAGACTTCGCGGCGACCGGGTGACGAACTCCTTGTGGTCCGGGTTCACGCCCGGGGGTCGGCAGAAAAGCCACATTTCTTCCAGATTTACGGTATCTATCATGGAATCAATGCCAGAGGGTTTCGTACCCATAGTACAGAGCCAACGGTTTAACAACTCATGGTTTCTGGATATTTAAAAAAAAAAATCCTTCTTCCACAGATCTTTCCAGTGGTCACAACATGTTCCATTTTCCCTCTTTTCATAACATGGCCGAAAAATGATGACTGTCTTCTTCTGATGTCTGTGATTAGGTGTCTTCAGGCTCCCGCCTCTTTCAAAACCTCTTGGTTGCTCTTTTCGGCTGTCCAAGGTATTTTAAGCATTCTTCTGTAAAACCACATCTCTAAGGCTTCAAGAAATTGTTTGGCCTGCCTACCGATTGTCCAGGATTCACGGCCATTTGTTAAAACTGGATGTATGTAGCAAGCAAGAATTCATTTCCTAACCTTTAAAGACAAAGATATATTGCATAAGATGTTCTTCATTTTATAAAATGCCGTTTTTGCCTGTCGTATATATACTGTAGTATACTGTTTCTTATCTCTGTGATACATCTTCCATCGGATGTTGTCTATGTGCCCAGATACTTGAATTTCTGTACTTCTGCATACCACACACTTCTTCTTTGCTTGGGCTATCTAATATTGCAGATGGGATATCATTAAGATCTGTAGCATAGCACATATGATACATGTTTTCTCGTGTCTGTGTGCACAGTATACCACAAACGGACACATATTGAGCTATAACATTCCACACATTGTGGCGATAAGACAACTAGCACATACAATGACTCACAGATACCGGATATTTTGCAGCCATTATGTGTCAACTAACATATGAGGCATAAGCATATTTTAGCTCTTGCCTCTTAAACATACAATTATTCTAGTTCTTCTTTCTGCATGGATTTTTCACTGTCGTTGTCTGCCTGTCTGCTTTCCCCGTTCAACACCCAAAGACATTACAACATGTACCCCGGTCACGTCTGTTGTACCCCAGTCACGTCTATTGTACTCCTGTCACGGCTATTGTACCCCCCCCCCCCCCCTTTTCACGGCTATACCAGCCTCGGGTAAACTGTTGGACTTTCTAATTTAACATCATTTTCTACTGTGTCGGAACCTCTAGCACTTGATGCGGACACCGTGCATCGAGACCACGCATGGTAATCTATGTCTGGTAATCTATGTCTGGTGATCTATGTCTGGTAATTATGCCTCGTGATCTATGCCTGGTGATCTATGCCTGGTAATCTATGCCTGGTGATCTATGTCTGGTGATCTATGCCTGGTGATCTATGCCTGGTGATCTATGTCTGGTGATCTATGTCTGGTGATCTATGTCTGGTAATCTATGCCTGGTGATCTATGTCTGGTGATCTATGTCTGGTGATCTATGCCTGGTGATCTATGCCTGGTGATCTATGTCTGGTGATCTATGTCTGGTGATCTGTACCTGGTAATCTATGTCTGGTAATTATGCCTCGTGATCTATGTCTGGTGATCTATGCCTTGTGATCTATACCTGGTAATCTATACCTGGTAATCTATACCTGGTAATCTATGCCTGGTAATCTATACCTGGTAATCTATACCAGATATCTATGCCTGGTAATCAATACCTGGTAATCTATACCTGGTATCTATGCCTGGTAATCAATACCTGGTAATCTATACCTGGTATCTATGCCCAGTAATCTATGCCTGGTAATCTATACCTGGTATCTATGCCCAGTAATCTATGCCTGGTAATCTATACCTGGTATCTATGCCCAGTAATCTATGCCCAGTAATCTATACCTGGTGATCTATGCCTGGTATCTATGCCCAGTAATCTATACCTGGTGATCTATGCCTGGTATCTATGCCCAGTAATCTATACCTGGTGATCTATGCCTGGTATCTATGCCCAGTAATCTATGCCCAGTAATCTATACCTGGTGATCTATGCCCAGTAATCTATGCCCAGTAATCTATGCCCAGTAATCTGTACCTGGTGATCTATGCCTGGTGATCTATGCCTAGTAATATTTGCCTAGTAATCTATACCTGGTAATCTATGCCGGGTGATCTATGCCTGATATCTATGCCTAGTAATCAATCCCTGGTAATCTATGCCTGGTGATCTATGCCTAGTAATCTATACCTGATAATCAATGCCTGGTGATATGTGCCCTTGTGGCTTTGGTACACTACTAGACCCACTGATCAAAGACGATGAATTCAGTAGTCGCTATGACATAAAAATTCCATGAAAGCAATAAATGCTGCATAAGTTAAATACCATTTACAAGACATTGACAGTAAATCATCTCTTTCATTGATGTCCAAGGTATGAACCCTATGTAATTGTTGGATACAACATAATCGTGCACAGTTATGCTGTAGAAGCAGGCCACAAAGCGAGAGTGGTTCACAATAAGGCGCGTAAGGATCACAAGTGGCCGGACTGGTCAGTCGGTGGCGCAAGGCGACCGTGGAATGAAAGGCGTCATAGTGGATGGAACGGTCAAGTATTTACAACTACTGCCCCGTCTGGAGGGGGTCGATGGAACGTTCAGTGTATTTCTGCGAATTTCTCGGTTAAAATCTTCAGGGAAAGGAGCAGATAATTTCTCTGCACTTTTGCTTATCTGTATTGTGTAATTATGGTTCTTGGCCAGTGGAACTTGCGATATGTTTTCCATTTGTGTTTCCGATGCAGACATCGTGATGTTGTCGTGTAGTGAATGTGTGTTTGTTTGCTTGGTAGCTGCGTTACTGGGGTTGTTGTGGTCACTAATTCCCAGGTTTCTTTCGGTTTTCGTATTACCTCCGTCTGTACCAGCAGCAGACCTGGCTACCCGATGTAAGTTTAGTTTTAGCAAATGAGACGCTTTATCTCCGCAAGATTTCCGTCGCAAATGGAGAGGTTTTCTTGTTGTGGTGCTTAAGGCTGCCAGGAAATCCCCATCTTCAGAGATTTCCTGAATAGCTTCACAGCTACCGAAAACCGATTTTCCGGACAGTCCTCGGTTAGTCTGTACTTTGCGCTCATGGCTAAATTCATTGTCGGGTGGGAAAATAAACTGGCGGCGATTGTCCGAAGCACAGGGAGAGCGAGGGATAAGATAGCCAACGGTCACTACAGGAACAAGATCTTCCGCTGGCTTTGACGAGTTGAGCGGTCTTTGCAGGAGATCCTGTTCATTTTGCATCTGGTCAGGGTTGTGGTCAAACTGACATGAGATGTCATCTAAAGCCGACGCTCTCCTGCTAATGTCACTGGAGTACCTGCGACTGACGGACGGGTCACTGTCCAGCAAACTAGTGGACATCCCTCTGTCCTGAAAGGGTATGGCTAGGCTTGTCCGCTGCACCTGAAGCGACCTCTGTTCTCGGAAATGAGCCAATGCTTTCTCCTTTTTGCAGACGTAATGCCTGAAACCGCCGAAGATGAAGATATCCCAGAAGCCTCGAGAAAACGATAGAAGATGGAGGATTTTCAAGCTGACCAGCTGCCTCGTTTGGTGCTCCTTGGCTCCGTAGTTCAAAACAAGAGTTGCAATTTCCCATGAAGGTGACTTGCCACGAAGGATACCAACAGTGCAAGTGTGAATATCACTACAGACTTTGAGGACTTGTACGGTCTGCCTGGCTTATCAGCCTCTTGTTTATTTCTGACAAAATAAATAAACAGCAAAGTGCAAGATAAAGCAGGAAATATGAAGGTCACTAAGGGGTTGAGAACTTCAAATATGTCGTGTAGGTACATGAATCGGCTGGAGGCGAAACACAGGAAGAGATCTTTAGTTCGTCGCTCGGATGCCAGGGTCACCACCTCGACGTCGTAAATGACTACAGACCAAATGTTGTAGGCAGCAGAGAAGAACCATGTCAGGCTGGCAAAGAACAAGCACCTGTCGTTGGAAGAAAAAGCAAGAACATCAAGAACATATTTGTTAAGTTTATTAATGTGTGTGTTAGTTAGTTAGTTAGTTAGTTAGTCTTTCCTCTTGTGTCGAGTGCGGCACATAGGGCAGAGGTCGTGACTCTCCATGCACGGCGGTCCGTTGCAATCCGTTGTAGGTCTTGGATGTTTGAGTGGCCCATGAGCGAGCCTTCCCTGATGATAGTTCTAAATGTGTGTGTAATTTGTTTAATTATTAAAATAAAGAAAAAGGTCAATATATTAATAATTAGATTGTCCTTGTGTGGGTTCTAGGGCTCATTTGAGAGTGAAAACAAGAATAGACCCACTGCCTATCCAACAAACATGTCGTAGGAGTCGACTTATTGGGGGCATCATTCGAAGTCGGAGTAATCTGCCTGGGAGGTTGAAAGCCAAGAGTATGCATACAAATAAGTTAGATGAGTAAAACGGATGAGTGCGCAACACACAGGCACAGACAAGTTTGACTCTAAGAATAAAACATAAACAAATCTGACTCAAAGATAAGACACAGACAGGTCTGACCCTAAGAATAAGACATAGTCCGACTCTAAGAATTAGACACAGACAAGTCTGACTCTAAGAATAAGACACAGACAAGTCTGACTCTAAGAATAAAAACAGACAAGTCTGACTCTAAGAATAAGACGCAGACAAGTCTGACTCTAAGAATAAGACACAGACAAGTCTGACTCTAAGAATAAGACACAGACAAGTCTGACTCTAAGAATAAGACACAGACAAGTCTGACTCTAAGAATAAGACACAGACAAGTCTGACTCTAAGAATAAGACACAGACAAGTCTGACTCTAAGAATAAGACACAGACAAGTCTGACTCTAAGAATAAGACACAGACAAGTCTGACTCTAAGAATAAGACACAGACAATTCTGACTCTAAGAATAAGACACAGACAAGTCTGACTCTAAGAATAAGACACAGACAAGTCTGACTCTAAGAATAAGACACAGACAAGTCTGACTAAGAATAAGACACAGACAAGTCTGACTCTAAGAATAGGACACAGACAATTCTGACTCTAAGAATAAGACACAGACAAGTCTTACTCTTTTGGTGTTCCTTCCACCCCCCCCCCCCCCAAACAACCTTTACCCTCACCCCGCCCCCTCCCCTTTCCACCACCTGAAACTAGGATTACCAGATTGCCCCCCAAAAATATTTATTATTTCAAATATGTTGATGATTTAATCTGATGTTGTCGCTATACATGATCTCATATGATACTGTGTTCTCATCAGTGCTGGATTTAGGCATGAGCTAACTAAGCTACAGATTAGGGCCTCACAATATACAAGGGCTTCACAATCTACAAGGGCCTCAAAGAAAAATTCCTGGTCTCTCCTCCCCCACACATTTTCTTTCAGATACAATTATCTTTCAAAGAACCATTTACATGGTTATAGAATACAATATCTGTGACTTTGTAGACACATCTTCCACTGTTTTCGTTTACATACACTAAACGACAACACATTTCTACTGTCTAAATATTTTTTTTTTAAGTTTACATTTTAGATTTTTGAGGTATAATTTAAAATGGTAGGGGCCTCGGTGCTTTATATAGCTTGGCGCCTCAGCACATGTTAATGCGGCCCTAGTTCTCACTTATTTGAGGTTTAATGAAGTACACTACAACCTGCCTCATTCCGTAAGCCGACCTTCGCGTGTGTTGACAATCTCCATAAGTTGACCATCTAGGTAAGTTGACCACTTCAGTAAGTTGACCGATTTGCTACAGTTCTCATCGTGGTCAACTTATAAGACCGTGTACTCTGTGTGTGTGTGTCTGCGTGTGTGTGTGGGTGGGTGGGAACTGTGTGTGTGCGTGTGCACGCGCGCAGTTTTTTTTTTTTTTTTTTGGCGTTAAGTAGTACCGGCACCCTTGTTTAAGCCTCATGTTTCCGTAACAAACAATTGGTAGTCCGTACCGGCACCTTGTGGACGCCTGTATGATGAGTAATGACACTGTTTTCTTTTAATGAAGCGTTGAATATATGTAGGTGTCTATGTGTGTGTATGTGTTTGTATATAATGTGTATGTGTGTGTGTGTGTGTGTGTGTAAGTGTGTGTTTTGTAATAAACAAATAGTGAAGGAGAACGAGAGAAGGAAGAAAATATTGGCTAATGAGAGGGGAGAGAGAATTATCAAAGCAATATTTTCTGTACAACATTTTCAAGAACGTGCTACACACTTTCCCAGTTATCATGAATCTTTCACAAATACAATTTCGTGTAATAAAATTTTAATAATCACTTTAAATTTTGTGAACAAGAAGGCCGGAAATACACGACACAAGAGTGTCCCTGTCTGTATAAGAGAATTCTGCTCACACCGGCACGTGCGTTCACTCAGTCCGTTTGCTCAAGGCCCATCCCCGCTTAAAATAAACTAGATCCATTTTTGACAACCTAGTGACAGGATTCATTTGGCCAAATGGAGCGGGAAGCTGTTAGAACGTTAAAATGTTCCCTAATTTTTTAAGTAGGCGCTCAACTGTGGGACGAAATAAGGCGGGGGTGGGGCGGGGGGTGACTCGGCGGCATCGACACAGAGAAAACATTTTGAGGCGTGGGTCCCTGAGCCCGCTACATATTTTCGTGTGTTGCTAGGGGGGGGGGTGGGGGGGGGGGGGGGGGGCAAGAGACCTGTCATATTTGTATATGGTACGATGATAAAAAGTTTGTTGCGTATCCTTTACAGGACGTTGCAGAACCAACACTAGCATTTTTGTTTTTAAATTATTAATTTTTCACACAAAAAAAAGGAAAAAAAATTTTTTTGTCGAGTGGGTCAAAGTGTCCGATCAGGTTTGAGACTTGTGTAGGGTTCTAATCACTTTAGGACGTAAGTGCAGGGACTGGCCAGCTGGTGCTGCAGAATCAGAAGTTCAACAAATGATTCATGACACTTCCCGCCCAGGTGATGTGATTGTCTATTCAGATGTTTCTGTGTTCAGGTGTAGACGAAGTGTACGGGGGTTCATAGCAAAGGCGAATGGACGTCGACTGGTGCAACAAAGCCTGGCATATGAAAAACGTCTAGTTTGAGAATGGAGGTGGAGGTGGTCACTGCTGCCTCCGGCTGGCTTGAGAATCAGATGTAGACACATGCTGTCATTGTAACTGACTCACAAAGCATGTTGAGAAAGGTGGAGACAAGCATGCTCTGTGCAGAGTGGCAAGCATCACTTCAAAGGACCCGGGTAGTTAGCAACCTTTAGATATTTTCTTCAGGGGATGCCGGTGTGTTACGAAATTAGCAGGCAGATAGATTGGCCGGTTATGCACACACTTGGTGGTGAAATGATGTATGACAAGTTGAATGTTGTGAGGGCCCTTTGGAGGCGAGTGAACAGTGCCGAGGCACAGATAGATCATTACAGTCTAAAGAGAATGGCGCTGCGGGAAGTCACAAGGGGATCTGGCCGACGCTCAATACTCAGGGAAAAGGTGAGACGGATATACAATCAGACAGTTACTGGTACCATCGGAATTTCAACTCTTCGCTTGCTGCTGAAGATGGGGACGAAGCGCTTATATAGGTTTCCCGAGTGCTGTGATGTTGTTTCTTTATTCAACATTCATTAGCATTTTTTTCTGTTTTGGTTCTTCTATGCAAATTTAACGTTCAGTAGTTTGCCATTGCTCTCTAAACGGTCAGCTTTCTGTACGACTGTCGAAACCAACGCAAGACAAATCGTCCGCAGCTGGGATCGAATCCGGTACCCCGACATTACGAAGTGCGTTCGCAACGCCTAAGCCACAGACGCTAACTCATGGAAATCAACGAGACGATGATAATAATGATCTAATTAATAATAATTAATATCAAATGAATGAATAATATAATAATAATGGATAATAACATATAATAAATAGTAATATATAATTTAAAAAATAATAAAAATATAATAAAATATAATAAACGAATGACAATATTAATAATAAAAATAATAATAAAAAATAGTGTAAATTAAATAAATGAATAATAAAATTAATTAGTGTAATCAAAAACGAGTAATAAAATGAATAAGTGTAGTAAATAAATTTAATACAATAGCAATAATAATGTGGGTATGACAAATAAATAATAATGTATTGCAATAATTTGAAATGCCTAAAAAAGATAGTGAAACAATAGGAGTGACTTCAGTCAAGCTAATACAAGGAATTCCAGAGAAATTTGACTAAAAAGCTCAACAAAATGGGAAAGAGGAAAACGTGCACAAAACAACACAACGTAACGTTTCGGCCAGGCAGCCTTTTTCAAACACAGATCAGTCAGATACAACGTAGGAAATGACGATACGCATTGGCAAAGCAACAACAGTCTTTAAAAGCCTTAACAAAATATGGAGCTCAAAGTTATACAGCTTTAAGACCAAACCACTAATCTCGAATTTTAACGTTATTTCAATACTTGCATATGATTGCGAGATTGGAGATCCACCAAATGTATGGAACGAAAGTTTAATGTATTTGAAAAAAAAAGAGAAAAATCATGAAAAAAATGGGATGAATTCAGAAAGAGTGAGGGAATCTGATAAATGTCTGGACAAACAAATACCTGTATCGGCTGCAAAAAGACAAAGAAGGCGGAGATATTCTGAGCACACTCTCAGACGAAATGAACAAAGAATTACAAAACAGGCACTGAAATCAGAAACAGATGTTCTGAGAGAAAAAAAGAAGACGTCCAAGGAAAACATTAAGAAGAACATTATTACGAGAGGCAAAAATTGCTGTGCTGAACTCCATGCCAGAAATCGAGAGAGTTGCCAGCAATAAAGCTGGTTGGAGGAATCCAGAGAGTTGCAAGCAATACAGCTGGTTGGAGGAATCGAGAGAGTTCCCAGCAATAGAGCTGGTTGGAGGAATCGAGAGCGTTGCAAGCAATAAAGCTGGTTGGAGGAATCCAGAGAGTTGCAAGCAATAAAGCTGGTTG